TGAAATTGGCTTCCACTACAAATACAATTACAAACATTACAAACCATCAACTTTTAACCGTTAAGACCATTAAACAATGGTTTTCAGTAGTGTGTTTTGGGACATATTCCATTAGGATTTAGTGGTTTTAACAAGCCACCAATAGAAGGCGACCAATTACCAGTAGAGACCAACACGGACCAATACAGCTTCCATTAAAACCAGTAAAACCATTACACATTTTGAGATAAACCCAATTCCCTTGGCTGCTTGATTTGTGTCGTCTCAACAGGAACAAATTCCTTTCCTTTCCTGCAGTCAACAAATCAACAAAAGAGCAATGATATGCAAGTGCTATAACAAGTCTCAGTTAGCTTAACGCAGTACACGTAGCAAGGTTTTTTTTTAATTTTAATAAAAAGAAAACAAATAGATAGAATACAAAAAGAATAGAGAAGCTAGTGAATAAAGGTGGAACAGATGTGTTTTTAGTCGTTTCTTGAAGATGGTTAAGGACTCAGCTGCTGGGATTGAGTTGGGCAGGTCATTCCACCAGGAGGGAACAGTTAATGTAAAAGTCCGTAAAAGTGATTTTGTGCTTCTTTGAGATGAACAATAAAGCGACGTTCACTTGCAGAACGCAAGCTTCTAGAGGCACATAACTCTGAAGTAATGAATTTAGGTAAAGGGGTGCAAATTCATATATAATATGGACCATTTAAATGTATCACTGCACTGGATATTTCAGTAACAGGAGCAGACAAACATTTATGGACTATCCTAGTTTCCAGGGTTTTAGTTTGATGCTAAGAGTCTTAATGAAGCGTCCTGATGAACAACCAGAGGATCCAGCAGGAGCAGCTTCATCTCTCAGAGACTGAACAGCAGATGAGCTGCATTATCATGATGAAACATGGATCGACACAGCCTGCGGTGAGAGGATGAGCATGGAATAGTGCCATTATCATGCTGCATCATCCCCAGCATCACTGGAGCAGCAGCTGAGCAGATCTTTAAACAGAGCAGCGGTCGTGAAGTGACCGATAGCATCTCCGCATGCAGACGAGAGACGCTCTCAGTGTTACAATCACTGCTTAATTAATGGAGTGATTTTAATAAACTCTCTTAAAACCAGCTATTTACATGAGCCAACTTTACTTGACTTTTTGCTTGATGATGATGACATGTCGTTTTTAGAGCTTGAGAGCTGTGTGGTATTTGAGATCAGCAGTGTGTAAAGATTCTCCTTTCACAGAATTCTCCTCTTGCAAAAACCTTGCAAGAATTCAATGCAAATCAGCTGGGTTAACTGAATTACGTTGTTATTTCTTGATATATTCTTGAGTTTTAGAGCCCCTTCAGCGTCTGAGAGAGACAAATCATCTGCCTTTGGGCAAAACAATAAAGGTGCGTGACACATTTTTGCTCACACGTGCTGATGATGAGGATGAGGATGATGTGTGCGGGGGATTGGAACAACACTGAGATAAATGTGTGTTCTGCTGCTGTCGTGCCCTGTCAGAAGACGAGCTGGAGCGAGGCTCTCGTAGCGGCCCATCATTTATCGATGAGGAAGGTTCGTTAGCAGACGAGCTCCTGTCTCAGCTCCCATTATCATGTGACACGGAAAGAGTCCTGACCGTTTACATCCCGGATGAGGCGGATTTACACAAACTTACAGCTCACAGACACTCTTATTTCTCTCTTACAAACTTTCTCCTCCTGCTTGACTGGGAAAAGTTTTCTTCTATAGTCACATCCAGTAGGATTATGCATATCCATCTATAAAAAAGCAAATGCAAGGGAGCTGTTCTCAGATCAGCACTTTAGAACTTCTAGTGTTCCAGTTTAGTGGTTTGTGAAAATCTAACATCCGCTACATATGGCTGTGCTGCAATCAATCATAAATGCATCATTAACTCAGTGTTCGATGGGATTTGCACAGTGAAATGTTGAAGGCACTGGCTCTGGTTACATGCATGTACAGTATGCTCATTTTCATCGTGTTTTCATGGTCATGCACAATGGTAATACTGTATGATCAAGAACTAATTAGGGCGGCATGTGTAAGTGTTGTTGTTTCTAACGATTCATGTATAGTAATGAGAGAGTGCCTGAGATGAGTTGAGTGTTGTGTAGCCTTAGGGAGCGTTAGAAAGACACGGCGAGGTCACATTATGCAGGCACAAGTCGTGAAAGCAGAGTCTCTTCTGATTCCACTGCTGTGTGCAGTCTGTTGTTTGCTCTGCAGAGCTGGATTTATCCTGGATATGTGCACAGAAGCGGCTGAAGGGCTGGAGGCTTGAACAAGAGCTCGCTTTCAAACAATCCCACTCCTCCATGGGCTCCAGGCACGAGGCTGACAGAGAAAACACTTTCTGGCAACCCTCCAGAACCTGCTGACCACAGACAGCTAGCTGCTCAAACACCACAGATCTGCTTTTAGACATTCGTGTGGAACACAGAGCAGTGCTGGATCATCTGAGGTCACATTTTACAGACAGAACTGAGCTATTAATCATTTTAATGATGAAGATTACAGTATCCAGGGAAATCAAATCAACGACTGTGATTTTGCCATAAATGCGCAGCCTTAGTCTGAACAAAATGTGAAGTGACCAGCTCCAGCAGCACTTCTCAGCTCTGGCCTGGAGATCCACCGTCCAGCCCCAGTCAAACACACCTGATCCAGCTGATCGAGGTGTTCAGGGTCACTCGAGAGCTTCAGACAGGTGCGTTTGAGCAGGGTCTGAGCTGAGAAACACTGAACTGCAGTTTATTTGGCAACATCAGGGTCCGTATTCACAAAACATCTTCAGGCTAAAAGTAGCTCATGACTCGCCGATTTAAGAGAAAATCTTAAAAATAATGAACGTGTCAGTCCTAAATTTAGGACTCCTACATTTTTGCACTAGGAGTATTTCACAAAGTGTTTGAGCACTAAAACTAGCTCCTAAATCTGTGAAAGTTTAGGAGCAGTGAAGAGGAGTCCTAAGTCACTAAGACCAAGCCACAAACTATCCTAACATAAAATCTGCCTCAGAACAGAAACATTTTAGTAACACACTGCATTTTTTTGCACACATATGTCTTCCCATGCATCTTTTTTGGTTTTGGAGACTTTCCTTTGATTATGTCCTTGTTTTCATTAACCAGCTCAGCAAGAAGTAACAGCTGTTCTTGCGTCCAGTTTGGTTTTCTTTTACGTTTGCATGTCTTACTATCAGCCATGATTATTCTACTCTGTTAATTAAAAGGCTGTTTATATGCATATCCACTAATTGTTTAAGAGAAGCACACATGTAAGAGGCTGACAATTATCTGAACATATGCTTGTTTAATTAGTGACTCTTAGCCTGCGTTTTAAAATCTTTATTTACATTTTTATTTTTAAACCTTTATTTGAATATGGCATCATAATATCACGCTCTACAATATTTCTATGAATAAATCTCTGACAGAGACTATCAGCCAATCACTGTGTGCATAGTTAATGAGCATGCTGACATCATCCACCCCGCTCTTACTCTGAGCTTAAGACTTCTCTCTATTCCTTAGTAAAAGCTTGTCTCAGCAGCTTTGTGGATAAAAAATTAAGTTAAAAACTCTTACTGCTGTTTAGGAGAACTCTTAGTGGTAAGATAAAATGTTTTGTGAATACGGGTCCTGATGTGTGAAAAACAAATTCAAATAAAGCCACAGCAGTCTGAATGTTGTCTTAAAAGGACGGAAAAACTAGCAGAAATGTGTTCAGACCTGCTCTTGCCTTTTCTGTATGAATTGCATTTAACTCAACGGCTTGAGTCTGTCTGCACTGGACGAGTCAAGGCAAACGCTCCAAACCCATTGATGGTTTCTTGACGTAGCACAAGCACATGCAGCACAGCAGAAACAGAGCAGGGCATCTGTTTACATAACACATCCAGTGTAGACGCTATCATTGACTAGGAACAGGTTCTGTCTGCTTTCTCAGATCTGAATGAGTTTGAACGAGTACCTGTGACTTTGAGCTCTGTGGTCCGTCTCACAACTCTGCTGCCATATTTGAGTTCACAGGTGTAGTTCCCTCCGTCGTCCTCCTGCACCTCCGGGATCCAGAGGCTGGTGGTGTTGATGATGATGGAGCTCCTCCACTCTTTCCTCTGACACTCCTGAGGAAACACACCACTCTTCACATGTCTCACACTCACTCATTTCAAACCCACTATCCTAAAACTCACAGATGTTTTAAAAAAAAAATAGGTTTGTTGATCCTGGAACAATGTTCCTCTCAAAGCCAGATGGTTTAAGGCAGGGGTTTCCAAACCTGCAGAGTTTAGCTCAAAACCTTTTGAAACACACCTGATCCAGCTAATCATGCTCTTCAGACGGACTAGAAACCTCCAGGTTAGTGTGTTACATCTGGTTTGAACTAAACTCTTCAGGTTTAGTTTAGGTCATGTTTAGGGCAACACTGTAAAAAAAATTACTGTGAATTTAATGGTAAAAGACCAAAAGGTAAAAACCTGTTAAATTGTTAATGGTAAGTTGCCCTACTATATACAGTGAAAAACTGTATTGGGCATTACTTGTAATTTTACGGTAGTATACCGTTTTTGGAAGAGAACAAGGAAAAAGAAGGTATCATTTTTGGAAAAAGAAGGTATCATTTACAGTGAATAACCGTAAATTGACATTCCCAGAATTCCCTGCGTTACATTTCAACTTTGATGTTTTCTTTTTTTGTTGTTGTTGTTGTTGAAATAACTATGTTTCGTCTTAGTTTTTCTTATCATGTTTGTACAGAAGGGTTGTATGTTACATCTAATGTGCTGTTTTTTTACCGTAAATTTTACGGATTTTTTTTTACAGTGTAGGAGTTGAGACAGAAACCAAAGCATCCATCATGGTCCTCTCATGCTGTGTGAGATGTGAGCCTGTACCTTGTACCAAGTCATGATAGGCTGCTTGTAGGGTGCGAGATAGTCGTCGATGTCAGGGCAGCTGATCATTTTGCTCTTGGTGACCTCAGCGTTCTCCTGGTACCGTATTCGGCTGCTGAAGCAGAGTCCCTCCTCGCTCTCCTCCACCGTCAGAGACATGGACACCTTCATACAGTACGTGGAGTTTCTGTAAAGACACACCATCAGACAGGTCATGACACCACGACTCTTCTGACATATATGTGACCCTGGAGCACAAAACCAGTCATAAGGGTCTTTTTTTTTAAATTGAGATTCATACATCATCTGAAAGCTGAATAAATAAGCTTTCCATTGATGTATGGTTTGTTAGGATAGGACAATATTTGGCTGAGATGCAACTATTTGAAAATCTGGAATCTGAGGGTGCAAAAAAATCAAAATATTGAGAAAATCACCTTTAAAGTTGTCCAAATGAAGTGCATATTTCTATTCAAAATTAAGTTTTGATATATTTACGGTTGGAAATGTACTAAATATCTTCATGGAACATGATCTTTACTTAATATCCTAATGATTTTTGGCATAAAAGAAAAATGTATAATTTTGACCCATACAATGTATTGTTGGCTATTGCTACAAATATACCCCAGAGACTTAAGACTGCTTTTGTGCTCCAGGGTCACACATTACATCATTGTGCTATGAAAACACTCCTCTAGTTTCAGAGCTCAAATTCTCTCAGTGAGCTTTTGTTAAAAACAAAGCTGCCAAAGCGGCGCGCTTTCTACTTCCTCCACATTGTGACATCACACTGTGAGCGACATTTGCAATCAGCGCAATCATCTCACCTCATGATTTGTCTGAAATTCACCACTAAAACAGTGTTTTTTGGCAGAATGAGGGTTGAAAATAGCCACATTTTGAAAACTCACAAGCTCAAGGAACATATTAAAGTAAAATAAAGAAACCCTTTAATATTTACTCCAAAACTCCTCTGCTATTTTATTCATAATTTCCACACATTTTCCACATTCGTCGTCAACGCTGCCTCTGAGCATGAGGTGAAGCAGACGCTGATGTGTTGTTGCAAATGTCCATCACGTCACAATGTGGAGGAAGTATAAAGCTCCTTGTTTTGGCAGCTTTGTTTTTAACAAATGCTTGCTGACCTATTTAGCAGATTTTGGTAGAGCATCTCTTTGTAGATGTTTCTCTCTTTTTTATGTATGAGGGAGAAGTGTATAATTTAGGTTCTATTACAGTATCTGTAACCACTTCTTATGGGGTTTTCTTCGCTATAGTAAAAAAATAACTAGTCTCTGTGGGCTTCTGTACATTTGGAAACACTTAATGACATGAACGTCTACATGAAATGATTCTCCCTATTCATTTAGCTCTGATTCTAGAAATCTCAAGCTTTTTCCACACATTCTTTGAATCTGCCTACTGCATTGATTTTCTTTTATTCTGTGCAATATCAGAAGCACAAGGCTTGGCCACAGTGGTAAAACAGAGCAATTACCAGTGCGTTCAATATAAACAGTTTAGTAATTATTAACATCCCCACTGCTCCATCCTTGTCTTTTTCTTTTATCCCACAACGACACCCGGCTGGATTAATTGAGAGCTGTGTTGGGCTTTTCGGTTATGAAAGAATCTGATACCTCCTGTCATAACGTTCAAAGGGAATCAATTAATGATGAAAAATACAGTGGATCTGAAAATGAGAATACATCTGCATACAAACAGAGAGAGCATTTCTGAGAAGGCTGTACTGAGATGAAACAAACTGTCTCCCACACACGGGAAACGTCTCATTAAACACACACATATGCATATCAGTCAAATATGCAAAACCATATTCCCTAGAGGACAGCTTTTCCACAGGAACTCCCTCGATCAGCCATCGTGAGTGAGGAATATTCCAAACAATTCACAAGCCTCACATTTAATTATTTCGGTAACGTGAATATAACACGTTCTGAAACGATCCAGAAATCAACTCAAACTTAATTATTTTGGGGCCAGTGCAGAGCGTCAGATATTGCTGTTGTTACTAGTAATAGTGAAACACACGTGTGCAGACTGATCAATAAAGTTGAGTGATTGCATCTTGTGTGACGTGGATCAATGCCGTTATTTGAGGCCTGAGTCTTCTCCTGTCCCAGATGACATTGAGAGTGGACAATGGACCCTCAAAGCTGCTGACCGCTTCAGACGATTATTTAGTGCTCTCTGAGCCGTTATCAGCCTGAAGAGAGGAAAAGATGCTTCCAGTGTACAGCAGCGACTGAAGAAGTGCCATCTGCCCTCCCTTCAGCTGCTAATTAGGACATTAGGCTAGTGTTTGAGCGCTAATGAGGCTTCAGTCGTCCAGTTGTGCTGGAGTGTGTGAGAGCTGTCACTCCGCAGATCCTTCTGACAAATCACAAATATTACAAACCCAAGACTGGAGCTGATCAAACACAATTCACAACATCTCACACAATTTTATTTTTTTATTTTTTTATCTGTCAATGTAATAAAGACAGCAAATTTAAAAAAAAATGTATTTATGTAATATGTATTCAACCCTTTACACATTCTTTCTCTGTCACTACAGGCAAAACTCCCTGCCTGTGCATGTACAGAATAAAGCTAGTTGAGCTCTACACTGTAAAAATTACCGTGAATTTAACGGTAAAAGACTGTAAAAATGCTACAGTAAAAACCTGTTAAATGGTTAACGGTAAATTCCCCTACTATATACGGTGAAAAACTGTATTGGACATTACATGTATTGGACATTAATTTTACGGTAGTATACCGTTTTTGGAAGTGAAAAATACAGTATAATTTACAGTGAATAACCGTAAATTGACATTCAAAGAATTCCCTGCGTTACATTTCAAATTTGATGTTTCTTCTTAGTTTTTTCTTATCGGTTTTGTATATTAGGGTTGTGTGTTACACCTAATGTTGTTAAATGAATGTTTATTGCATTATTTCAGTTTCATGTGTGTCACCATGATGGTGTTTAGTGTTTGTGTGAATGACACTGTGCACCTTCTATATATGTTATTATTTAAAAGCTGCTTGTGATGGGCTTTGGTTCATCATGTGACTTTCTCATCAACACCTGCATTGGGTGGTTGTCAGTGTACAAGAGGTACAAGGTACAAAACAGATTTCAGTACTTCAATAGGTTGGTATATTAACATTATATCAGTTAATGAAATTACGGTATTTAACTGTAAATGTAAGTTAAAACCGTAAAACCTAAAAAGTTGCTACCTAATGAAATTACGGTATTAACTGTAAATTTAAGTTAAAACCATAAAACCTAAAATGTTGCTACCATATTTTTTACGGTAAAATTCCGGCAACCACAGCTGCCGTTTTTTTACCGTAATTGTTACGGAATTTTTATACAGTGTATGTGTGTGTCTGCACCCACTGATAGTGTTTATTAGCACTGATTGCATTTTTGTGCTCTGTGGTGTCCATTAGCTGCTGCAGTGTAATGCTTAAACTGTATTGAATAGGGCTGTATTGATTGTTGACCGAGAAAGGCGGCCTACAGTTCTGGCAGTGTTCCTCTGCATTACTCCTGTATTCCTGCTGCATCAATGATAGCAGCAAAACACATGGACAAGCTGATACAGTACATGTCAGTCTGGGGAAAATTCATTTTAATATTGACTGTGCGTCTTCATTTTCACACTAATGGAGAACTGGGCCATCTAAACAGACCAGGGATGCTCAGCTGCTTCTGTAGCTATCAAAGCTACTCTTAGAAAGAACGTTAACAGCTAGATCAATCAGAAAGGCTTCTGCAGGCTGATGTCGTAGATCAGGGCTGTCCTGAAGACCTCGATCGGCTGCTTGAGGTGTGTCTCATTAGGACTGGAGTTGAACTCTCAGCCTGTCAGAGAACAACCTTTAAAAACGCAGTAAAAACTTCAAATTCTGTAGTTCTTTATAAAACATATATCTATGTTCTGGTGCTGAACTCATGAATCCTGCACAGACAGCATTGATTAACCTATATTTTTATTGGCACCCGGTGTTTCTGTGCCATCCATGCTATGGGTGATTGAATGATTTCAGTCTTGGGGATCTCAGTCCCTGACATAAGCCTGATCTTACACACACAAGCCTGTCGATGGATCCTCAGATGTACTTCACATACCTGCACATGGCTTCACATCTGCAAACAAGTCGGTTTGGAACATAGACAAGTGAAGCATTCTTTGTTACCAGGTTGTGAGTTTGAATCTTGCTTGAATTATTGTTATTATTATTATTATTAAATATAAAGCCATTGTCTGGATAAGTAGCTACACCTGTATATCTGTATTTCTGGAATGACAAAATGATCTGCATCATGAAACTTTGCATTTGGTCTATTGAATTACAAGTAGATGTTTGAAAGCCTGGAATGTTTGTTAAATTCACTCAAGCTATCACTAAACTTCATTTTTTAAGGCAACCAGCTAACCAACTATTTAGCTGGGCTTACAGTGTAGTCCCATTCTCATCCAAATGGTGGCGGTGCATCAAGAAAATAATCAGCGGTTTGTCACTAACACAATATCATCCAGGGATTTCCCTGGCCGGTGCTCAGTGATCCTTTTATCTCCTGGAGGGGGAAATATCATGAAGTGAAGCTTCTGCTGTATGAAGAGATTGTCTCCCATACCCTAACGCTCCATTTCAGCTCAGTTCATATACCACCTAGTGAGTTACCATCTTGTGCCACTGTCTTGCTAGAGTATGTGGAAGAGGCTTTACAACAGGGGTTTATTCGAGTATCAACTTCTCCTGCAGTGGCAGGGTTTTTTATTTATTTATTTTGTTTTTTGCAGAGATGAAAGATGGTGGTTTACATCCCATCACTGTTAAGTTCTCTTTTCTGATAACCCTGGTTCCCACAGCCATTGAACAGGTCAGAGAAGCTCAAATTTTTTAGTTTTTAGTTTTTCTAAACTGGACTTATATGGTGCATAAAGGTGTGCAGCGAAGCCAGTATTTGTATCTGTAACAATCACAAAATAATTTGTATCTGTATCTGTATAAGTAGGCGGAGGTTGAACCAGAACTTCGTACAGTTACTTGATAAGACCGTTATGTCCAGAGTATGTGAGCGGAGCGGTGTGATTTTGAATGGAGGGAGGGGCGGATTTTTTAAAAGTCGGAGCGTTGCATCTCAGCTTGTCTAACAGA